AATAAAAGTGAGCCATGTATGCATGGACAGCACATGCATACGTACTAAAAATGGAAAAGGAAAAATAAAGGGTTGTTGAATATAATTCTTCAAATTCTTCTTATGCCATTATGCCCCCTTCAATTCGAACGAGGGTTTGAGTTTGACTGTGAGTTTATCTCGAAGCCGAGTGAAGAATTGACCGGACAGAGGTTTAGTCAAAATATCTGCAACCTGATGCAATGCAGGTATGTGATGAACAGAGATGGTATGGAGATAAACTTGCTCTCGAATAAAATGTAGATCAATTTCTGCATGCTTTGTTTTAGAATGATGGACGGGGTTGGCTGAGAGCAAGACTGAGCCAAGGTTATCAACCCAAACAGTGGTAGGATGATGCTGAGGAATAGCTAATTCAGATAACAAGGATCTAAGCCACATAATATCACAGGTAGCGGCAGCTAAGCTTCTGCACTCGGCCTCAGTACTGGAGCGAGCTATGGTTTTCTGTTTCTTGCTACTCCATGAAATGAGGTTGCTGCCAAGGAACACACAAAAGCCAGAGGTTGATCTCCGGTCATCAATATCTGTGGCCCAATCTGAGTCAGCATAGGCCACTAAGTTCATAGAAGGAGATTTAGTGATTTGAAGGCCTGAAGATATGGAACCCTTGAGATATCTGAGTAACCTCTTAAGAGCTTTCCAATGAGTGTCAAGAGGGTTTTGCATGAATTGGCTGCATTTGTTGACAGAGTATGAAATCTCAGGTCTAGTAATGGTTGCATACTGTAGGGCCCCAACAAGTTGTCTGTATAGAGTCCCATTTTCGATAGGTTGGCCTTGATGTTTGGATAAACCTGGAGAAGACACCATAGGTGTACTGAGGGGTTTGCAATCTGTCATGCCTGCTCTTTTGAGGATGCTTTTAATGTAGCCAGATTGAGAAAGAAAAAGATCATCAGTGGTTCTGTGGACTTCTAAACCCAAGAAATAATTTAAAGAACCCAAATCCTTTAAGGCAAAATGGCCCTTAAGAATTGAAATGATATGATCAATCTGTTGGGTGTTAGACCCAGTAACAATCAAGTCATCTACATATGCTAAAATAAAAATGCTACAGCTGGCACCAGTTTTGATAAACAATGATGTGTCAGACCTAGAGCTTTTGAAACCAAGGGAAGAGAGAATACTGCCAAGCTTTAAGTACCAAGACCTTGAAGCTTGTCTTAAACCATATAATGATT